GGTGCTGTTGACGGTCGTGACATTTGCGACCTCAGCAAAACTCGCCTAGTCTAGGAACCAGTTGTACATCAGTATCGACACCTTCTAGTCCACCCAGAAGATGTCAGGCCCCGCATCCAACACGCAAGGTCACCGAACTGGCCCCCAAAGGGTCCCTTCCCCCGTTGCCGGTTTGAGTGCGGCCTCCGCGAGCAGCGAGGCCATTGCCAAACAACAAGCGGCACCCCAGCAATGGTCCGACCGAACGGTCGACCAAAAACTGGATCTCCTCCTGGAGTTGATACGGCCGCTGGCAACGGAGTCGCGAATCTTCGAGCAGCGGTTGCGAAATCTGGAACAGGGAGGAAGAGGTGCGATCCCGCACATTACTCAAGCCGCCGAGCAGGCCCGCGCCGCGGCTGAGCAACTACCCGATGTGGCAAGAGAGGAGGTCTCCGCCCCCGCAACAGTGACACCAGCCCCTTCCGCCGACCGACCAATGCAGGCCGGCTTAGGGGTGGGAAGAGGTGTCAGTCCATACCCCGATTTTGGTCGTGAAAGTGGACATTTCCCCAGCGTACCGGCGCAGCCTTCGGGTTCCCCGTACGTCCCGCAATATTTGCCGCCCGAGGCTCCCCCACCGAGGCCAGCAAATTTCAAAATCGACTTGCAGACGTGGTCCGGCGAGGCTGAGGAGCTGGACGCATGGCTGATTGACTGCGAGAGGCAGATGACAGCCGGTGGGATCGACCCGACCTACTGGACCGCCCACGCCTCTAGCAAGCTGCGAGGGGCGCCGCGCGAGTTGGTCACGAGCGTCACTCTGGCTCACCATGCCAGAGAAGAGCAACTTCGCGCCGGTCGTCCCATCGCTCCCCTTATGATGGACACGTCGTTCCTGTACTACTGGGAAGCATTTGCTCGGCAAATGCGGGCCACGTACCTGAACTGCGGCCATCAGGCCAAGGCCCTCGACCACCTCCGGAACATGGAGTACGGCCGAGGGTTGTCAATGGAGGACTACGTCTCGCAGTTCCTCACAAATGCCGCGCTTTCCGGGGTCACCCAGGAGTATCTGCTCAAGCAGTACTTCCAGGATGGCATCCCGAGCCGCCTGTTCTCGGAGTTGGCGTACGCGCACAACTTCCCGCTCAGGCAATACCTCGAGGAGGCAGTCCGCGTTGAGCAAACGCGCTCAGAGCACGCCCGGCATCAGAGGAGCCGCGTACCAATCGAAAGAGCGGTGCGATCCTCCTTGCCACCACCCGGTGGCCAACATCGGCCCGCCCCTAGTGGTGAGGCACCCCGAGCACTTGTGCCATATGGCACCCAAGCTCACGCAGCCGCAGCAGCGCGTCGGCCGAACCCCCCGGCTTGCCCTGCAGGTGCTGCAGCTTTGGGCATTAGTCCC